TCTTTAGTGCGTTGGACAGTTACTTTTTTTTTTAAAGACTGAGTTTAGACACTGAAGGATTGATTCTTGATGTCAAAATTATTGCAACTGTTAATTTTTTTTTTTGCCTTTCAAATGTATTTTTCAATAGATCTCTGCATACGCAAGGTGTAAGTGCAAGATGTAGGTTTGAAAGTATTATTATAATACTTGATATTTCCTCCACAAAAATAGAGATTTCAGCAAGATATACAAATGAACTGTTGCAAACTTGGAATCCTCTGGAAATGCAAAGCTGAATTTCGTATAATTGAATATGTTGCTATATAGTTTTTAAATTCCTAGCTTTTTATAAGGAGGTCTTACAGCATACCACATTTGCGAAATGAATGAAATTTATTGTTTTATTAATTTACATAAGCTTTTAAAATGAAGTTTGTTTGAGGCACAATCGGAAATGCATTCCATTGCCTAATCTTAAAATATGAATAGGTTCCTATTCAGAAAACACACACACACACACACACATACACGAAAATGACAGGAGCTTTGGAGTGGCTTCAGAATTATATAATATTTGGCATCCTAATTTGTATTTTATAGACAGTAGGCATGAAAGACACTGGGCCTGAAAACATTTTTATGTGAATTAAAATATAACGTTTGGGAACTTTTAGTAATAATCAGTTTTGACAATAACAAGGAAGCAAGTTAGAGAAATAAGAAATTTTAAATATGACTGTTTTAAAAATGGGACCAAAGTAAGGAAATATCTAAAGTCTTTAGTTTAAATAAACTAAAATGTAACCCAGAAAAAGAATAGTTTTTATTAAGTGTTACCTTATAGGTTGTCATATATACCCAAGGCATTTTTATTAGTGTATTTGACTCCCATTTCTAATGCATTTGAACTGTATAATGTTTATTAAAATAATTGAGATTAATTATATCAGCACTTAAGATAAATGGTGATAAAATTTGCCTCACCAGGCACTTCCATCTATTCAAACATTTTATTATTTCATTGGGTCAAGAAACTAGTCTATAGTAACTAAATATTTATCAAACTTGCTGGTAGAACCAATTTTTTTAAAAGCTTCTAAGTTTGAATTTATTTAAATTAAAAGGTCTTTTAGTATGTAGATCTTAATGCTTCTCTGCCAAGCTATTTTAAGTATTTAAATTGTAATTTATGTCCCAAGTTTGAAGATTTATGTTTAGTAGTTAATAACTGCTACTTTGCCATATCTTGTCTCAGGAATACTTGTTTCACTCTGAAAGTTACATGTTACCTATTTTTAATGAAATTGATGTTTATTTTGAAACATTATATATTTAACATTTTCAAATTATTTTTCAAATTATATTGCAGAATTTGCAGTACTTTAGTACTTGAACTGGAGTTGGATTATTGATAACCTTTGGTTATAGGAAGACAAAACAAAGAAAATCTAAAACCACAGTACTTTGTCTTGTTAATTACTATAATATTTCTATGTAGTAACGTTTACACACGAACTTTGATGGCTAGAGACTTCAAAGTGTAAGGAAGAACATTTATTTACTGTAGTAAAAATTAAAATAGGCTATTTAGAAATATAAAATTAATTGACAATTTCTTTTCTTTTTTAAATTTGAAATGTAGTAGGAAACTTAATGAGCTAGTTTTGTGAGGCCAAAGAAGTTAAAGTTTATTTTCAAGGAAACTGGATTAATTAAAACTATATGAAGAATCTCAAAATGAAAATGTTGGCAAATTTTATAGAATTCAGACAATTAATGGGGATTCATCTCCATCAAAATGCCTGATAAAGTGCTGGGAATCTGAAGTTCCGTTCTCAGCAGAATTTATTTAGTAGAGGTGACTTGCTCAAGTGGATGTTGAAGTAGTTAGCCTTAAATTTATAGAGATTCATTTAAAGAAACATTTAGTGAGTACCTACTAAAGCTATATTGAAGGATATAAAAATGACAAGATATGGTTTTTACTTTCTAGCAGAGAGTAAAACAATAACATTTATTGATTAATTGCTGTATGTCAGACATTGCACTTGGTACCCTTATATACCAGTACACCTTATTCTTTACAACAGTCCAGTAAGGTGGGTGGGTATTATTTCCATTTTACGGATCAAGAAATTAAGTTCAGGGATGCTCCACAGTCGCATTGTAACTTTGAGTTTGAATTCAGATCTATATGTTTGCCCACTACACTATTCTTTAAGCTGTGCCACAGTTCTGTGGGTCCATAAATGTTTTACATTCCAATGTGGTAGATGTGTAAACTTTCTAAAAATTGGCCAAACGTAATTAACCAGAGTTAGCTTTAATACAAACTTCAGACTACTTGTTAGGCACCTCTATAACAAGGAAAAATGATTTTCACATTCTATTTGGTAGTCTGTAATTTGGCAGTGCTTTATTATGGTGAATAGGTGTGATGTTCTACAAGGAATAACAGTACCACTAAGTTTTTGCAGGTTTTTTTCATTTAAAAATTATTGATTCTGATGAAAGTTGTTAAATGTTTGCCCAAAACTTCCTAAAGATTTTACATTTCTCTGTAGATTATCCATAAGATAAACTTAGCTTTAAAAAATTAAGCTCATGTATAGCCAAGCTATGTTTGGCACTTAGTAGATACTCAGTACATTGATGAGAAGGCACCAGTTTTCACCTAGGATGAGAAATGCCTTGACTGTTCTAAGAGAACTTGATTATAATCATTGACATAAGAAATTACTTTGTTTTCTTTAATTTACATTTCTAATCTTTTGTCTCAAAAATACTCCCTTGACAAGTTCAAAAGGGATTTCTGCACTAGTTATATTACATCTACATACAGCACATTGCTATTTTATCGTTTGATGGGAAATTGGGAGGTGGCATATAATTTTGCAGTGATGCTAGAAAGGACTCTGTGTTGGGAGGATTAAAATTTCCAGGTGTGTTGGGGGAATGTAGTATGAGAAAGTAGGCAGGATGGGTAAGATAGATTTTACAATTTTTTCAAGTTATAAAAGTGATACATGTTCACTGTAGAAAATTTGGAAAATGTAGGAAGCACACACACAAAAAAAGAAAATTTGCTCATAGTTCTCACTCAGAGATAACTGACAAACTTTTCCAACCTATAAGCCCCAGAATTGAGTCTGTTTCCCTTTCCTTCCTTTTTTATTGAGATATATTTAATATACTAAATTGTGTAATTTTAAAATGTTCAACATACTGATTTGAGATTTTCCTCCCTTTATCTCATTTTACTTACTAGAATTTTTGAAGAGAAATGAGGTTCACAGAGTTTTAAGATATGAATAGCTATAGGTTGAAAAAATTTTTGCCACTTTTTATAGATAAGCAGATTTAAGTAGCTTTGACTTTTTTTAATCTCAAAATGTTTCGATTGTGAGTCAGTACTTTGAGATACAGTTAAGAAG